ACTTAAAAAACCAAATAATATTTTGTAAATAGTTAAAAGTGATAAATTATAGTGACAAATGCAAAAATTAAATTGTAATATCAATTTAACAAAAATATTTCCTAAAAATATTTGTATAATTGTTAAAAAATTTCAAATAAATAGCTTAAAATAAAAGATTATATTACTACCTTTAAAATCAAAAAAACAATGTTTGATTTTTTAAATAATTATAATTATAAAAACTAAAACATTAAACAAATAAATTTTTAAAAATTAATTAATAATAACAACAACTATACATAACATTAAACCATATATTATATAAATTTACTCATGCGTAACTTCCAGGTAGAAGTCATTCGAATGATTAAAATTATATAGTTATAACAGATGTATATATTATCATATAATTTAAAATAATCAATATATTATATCAATTTATTATCAAATTACTATGTCAAATTTAATAACGTTATATATATATATATATATATATATATATATATATATATATATATATATATATATATATATATATATATATACTATTATATTAAGCATATTTGATGTTTCTTGAAAATTAAGAGGTACAATTATTATAACACAATATACAATCTTATTAAGCTTGTAATGCAAATTTATATACGCGAATCTGCCTCCCTCATCTCAGTTTTTGACCCATTCTTCAAAAATTTGCACCGACCTTCCCTTATATCTCGGCTATCACATTGATGATCAACTTTGTCCCACAGTACAAATACTCTTTAGAAACCCTAGAACCATAAGAACTAGATGGTGCTGCTTCCATCAACACCTAACGACAGAAGATGTAAATGATGGCTGCCACGCTAAACCGCCGGTGACTCTCTCTCTCTCTCTCTCTCTCTCTCTCTACGATGTGGACCACCGTCAGTTATCTTAGTCTTTTCTTTTAATCGATGCCAAGTTAGATTTTTCTAATACATCTAGAACCAATCGAATGATTTGCAAGATTTGAAGACTGAGGCGATGAAGTACATGAATCCCGATGCCTTTTATCAATTATATACAAATTTTTTTCTTGAAGACCAATGCTTGAAGCATTTCCTAAAAAGTATTGGTGACCTCCTCCGCCTATGTCTCAGTATCGAGTCTTCAAGTTGAAAATTTCAGGGTTCAAGGCTCAATGTATAGTTGAGTTGGATTAAGGATATTTCTATGTGGTGGTAATGTATAGTTGAGTTGGATTAAGGATATTTCTAATTTTAAAAGAAAATTAAGTTATTCGTCATGGTGGGCATAGGTTTACTCGACATTGAGATTAGGAGTATGGAATTATAAGTTATTTTATCATGTAGGAGAGGGGGACAACAGGAAGAAATGGAAGCAATGAGGTAAAGTAGTTCAATATTGTTTCAATAGAATATCAATCTCATAGAGTGATGAGCATTGTCAAGGAAGATTGAAGAGGGGGAATAGCTTTGCTTTCAGATCTCAATCCCCATTCGATGACCATGAATGAAAAGGTCCTATATCCCTTAAAATTTGTTTGTATTTAGCTTGATATGTTTTGTGTTCATGATGAATGAGGATATAATTGTGTGTTTGATAAATTCTACTCCAAATCTCTTAATGTTTTTTTCCCTTTCTAATGCAATTGGACATGGTTACCCTGGGTAAAGAGCCCTCATAATTGTGAGGGCAATGGCATAGTAAGTGCTTTTTTTTTTTAAGTTCCATTATAAATATGCTCTGAAGAATAAGTTCCATATTGATTTATTCTTTTTAGGTTTTCATTCCTCCATTCATGGTTAGGTGCAACTCTTGTAAAAGGTCATGGCATGTAAGTAAGGTTTGAATTGTAAGGTTTTCAATAAAAGAAATTTGTATTTCTATAATTGGAGAGTATTCAAAGTATAGGCTCTTAATGAAAAATAATTGAAAATACAAGGGTTTTTTTTTAAGAAAAATCGGAATCATGATTTTAGAATAAAATATGTATAAATTGGCCCTTTTTGTGAATTTTTCGTGTTACCACTATTTGAAGGTCTATAATTGTATGAATCTACTTTATTTTAATTGAAATCCGTTTTTTTTGTATATTATATACAAATTTTTTCCTGAAGACCAATGCTTGAAGCATTTCCTAAAAAGTATTTGTGACCTCCTCCGCCTATGTCTCAGTATCGAGTCTTCAAGTTGAAAATTTCAGGGTTCAAGGCTCAAATTTCACATGGCATATCAAAGGGGCTACCTAACCTGAAATTCCATTTTCACTTTTCTTAGAAAGCGCCTTTGCTCATGTTTTTGTCTCTTCGTAGAACGGGTTAATAATGTTTCCATCTCCATTATGTCATGCTTATGCATCGTAAATGATTCTTTGATTTTTTCGCAGATCTGTCTCATCATCCCCTTTCATCAGATTTATAGTCCCACTTCGAGTTTTCATCCAACATTCATTTCTTTATGTTACACATTATATTTCGAGAAATCTACCTAATTTTAGTTGAAATGGCAATGTACTTGCATTGATGTGTTTGTTACACATCATACTTTCATTATTTTCTATTTGAACATTGTACTTTGAAATGTATTGCTACAATTTCACGATTTAAGCATTTAATTGTCTTGAGAATGACAAAATTTGGTCAAAATTGTTATCAGGGTAATAAGATATTATAACGAGAGGGGGAAAACCATTTTAAGGTACTAAGATATTGATACGTTTGTTAACTGTGATCTGTAGGGTACATAAACAAGTATTAAAACTCTTTTTCTGAATCTGTAGGGAAACGCTAGGATGGTGTAATACAAAAAGTTGGGATGGAATGGGGCGACTTTCAAAATTAGGCCCTGCACCAGCCCTCTTATATGTCATGTTTGTGCTGATTTTTAGCTTTTTATATTATACGCCTAACTTGAGAACCATACGCCAACAAGGCCTACCTATTTTTAAAATTGTAGCTCTTTTGGTTGTAGCTTCAAATTAACATAATATCACAGTTGGGTATGAGTTTTTGGTACAATATTTGCAAGCAAGTAATTGGTATCGATGATGTAGCTCATATTTGTTATAGCAAATTTTGATATTTATCTTTGCTTGCAATAATAATGTTAATATTCTTCCTCATCGTTGTGCATTGATTTTTGTAAATGCACAAACCAAAATCTACATTGTCATGTAATAAAGTAACGTGGAGTATCTTGCTTGCCTAATTTTTTTCGTTTTACATATAAACTTCACTAGAAAAATGTATAAATTCAAAAACAGTGAACACATAATCAAATAAATAGTTGTATAATAAAGGATATTTAAATATTTTTATATTTATTTTTAGGAATGAAAGAAATCGTTTTACAATATATGATAAATGGTGAAATCTACCATGAAAAGGTAAAACCTACGAACAATAACGATTTTTATTTATATATGAGAAATGATGAAAATATAGCAGTAGGTTTTCTTGAAGAATTTAAAACCTGCCAACAATAAAAACAAAACTATAGGAAAAATAAAAGTTATCTTAGTATCCATGATCATTGCTTTATAGTTCTATCAAATTTTAAATTTTAAATAAATAATAATGTCACTATCATAAGTTCGGAATCGGTTAAGAGGTAAATGGTTAGACATATACTAAGATGTGTCAGCATGTGAAACAAAATATGTAAAAAAGCCTTTTGTTGAACGTGGTTATATTAAGCAAAACCAAATTGTATTTGAATCGACTCAAAATAAGACGGAGCGTATGGTTGTTTGCGACATAGTTGTTTGCGATGACACTTTAAGGCACAAATAAAAGGTACCAAATTGTATTAAAATAAGACAGGATTTCTAAAGAAAAATAATAAAAATGGGCATTTTTCGCCACCTACAAAGAAACTTTAGACAAGAAAAATGAAAGAAATTAACTAAATAGACACACAAATTGCATGCAAGCCATATTAGTATTTGACATAAAATATGGAAGTTGTTTAAGAATAACATTTTAGATTTTGTTATGATATATTTTTTATTAAAAGGTAAACCTAATACATTAATTATATTTTAATTTTCAAATGTTATATTTATAATGTTTTTAAAGATAAAGCTAAATCAATAGATTTTATCAACTATAGGTCTCCGTCTCGGACTATTGGGCTCAGTTTGGTGGGTCACTTCGGCCCCGCAAGCCTCATGTGTGATCATAATCTAATCATTTTTGTGGTTGTGCCTTGGGAAAATCGTACCATGTTTTAGCTTCGATCTTCCACCTTCCACTCCGAGTCGGCCTTTGTTCATCGATTTTGAATCCAATCTTCAACTTCTGATCCGACCTCTAGCCTTCGACCTTTAGTCCAACTCTTTTTCTTTGAAAACACGTTAGATGATCTGCATCTCTAAGCCCAGATCAGACAAAAACAGATGTAAAGTACTCCCATATTGGTTTTGATATGCCTAGCCTTCATGACGTTAGAGGTCTAAAGGTTTTCTTCCATAAATGTACTTAATATAAAAGCATAAATGTACTTATTATATAAAAATGTAGCTTAAAAACATAAATGTACTTATATTTTTGTTAAGCTCTAAACATAAAACTGAAAAATCGAAAACCCAGAACCCTTAAGGAAACTAATTTAAAAAAAAAACGTATAATTTGTGTTCTTTTTAATATGTCATGTTTACGAAAAGGAAACTAATTGTAGAAAAGAAACTGTTCGCCGAATGAACATAATTATCAAAACAACCTAATCGATACCGCCGCTTTTTGCGGTACACAGCTAATATATATATATATATATATATATATATATATATATATATATAGCTTTTCCTCAACTACTTTATATTATTAATAAGTTATGGCTTATCAAACCAAAAAATTGAAAATTTAGTTAGCTATGATACACAAACATAAACTAAACTAATGATATTGCGTTAGTGGAGAAGGCCAATAGGCAAAACGGGTTAATCTACTACTGTAATACAAATTTATGATCGAAATCCTTTTCTATTAAAATAATAATACAACATCATTACCAAGACAACCCTCATAAATACCAAAATAGAGTATTTATTCCCCTCGATAGTAATCGTGTTTTTCATGCCTAATCTTTGAAACTGGTAAGTACTTACTCAATAGCTCTCGAGCTAACATCTCAATATTATCTTCTTCAAATAATGTCTCCTCTATCGATGCATCATTGTCTCTAGAAAAACATGGTGTTAGTGTTACAGGTGAAGGTTGTCCAAAGTGTACGGATGATAGCATAGAACTAGATATCAACGTCTCAGTTGACAACATCGGAAGGTTTGTCGCCGGTTGGCAGCTGGAAGGATGATGTTTCAAGATCGAAACACGAGCTTGAACGTATGCTAACTCAGCCTGCAACTTCTCGACCTGAGTTTATATATATACAAAACATCATTATTTTGATATATACACATAAGATTCGACATGAAAAGCACGATAACTAGTTGTATAATTAAAATATCAAAATAAGAAAGTTTTAGTTTAATATTTTGATTTTAGAAGCACAAATTATACTAGAAGAAATTAAAGGCAAGAAGACCTGTTGTTGGAGGTTAAAGACGCGACCCACACAACCATACACAGGGTCTCTAACCCTAGAGAGAGCTTCATAACACAGAGAAACGACAGCGTCAAGGCGTTTGCTTTGCGGTGTTCTTAGGAGGAGCTTGGCGGCGTTCTTGGCTCCGAACACCCTGTGCACAGCCTCAAAGTCAGTCAAACCACGGTCGTCCGGCTCAAAATAGGGTGCAAATACACACCCTTTTGCACATTTCCTCCTTAAGAACTTACATGCTCCACATGGGCCACCACCATTACGGCTCATCTCTCTCCTCCCTCCGCCGTCGTCTTTCACTATGTGTGTGTGTGTGAGAAAACGGAGGGAATGGTGCGTGGCCAGAGAGAGGGAAATCAGTTTGATCAAGAAATTAAACGATGATTGTTGATTGATGGAGGTGGGGGTCGGGTAGGGTGGAATAAGTAACCTGTGGAAACTACTCGTGGGGGGTCAGTTTTAAAACCAATGAGAGGAACATTATTAATACACGTAAAACTTAGAGGGTGATTTTGTACTTTCGGTACTTTAAATTTTTTATTATTTGAAACCCTTAAGCCGGAGGGTGTGGTGTCACTCAAAGTGTACTTTATTCCCCACCACATAAACGTCATGTTATTTTTTACAACTCAAGTGTGGTTTCTTACCACACAAAGGGAGTGGTGCCATTTTTTTTTTTTTTTTTTAACTATTTTAATTTAATAAAACTTCTTTTTTTAACTATTTTAATTTAATAAAATTTCTATTTTAATAAAAAAACATAATTTTTCATTACTTGAAAATTAAAAAAAAAAAACATTACATTGTATTACCAAAAAAAAAAACACGAAAACCACACACATGACATTTAAATAATCCTAAAAACTTAAAAAACACAAATAAAATAAGTAAAAAAAACCATATAAAGTCGTTCTCCGAGAACTTGTCTTCGGAGTCATCCGGTTGATCCAAATTAAGGTTAATGTTTTGAACCCCGTAAATGTGTTCCACCAAGTCATTGCGAAGATTGTGAAATATTTCAGTGCATCGTATCTCTGCTCTCCTGTTTATATATACTCTTCGTCACCAATTTCTATTGGTTGTGTTTTTGGTATGGTTTCTTCCTCGTCAAACGCATATATCGCTCTTCCTTCATCTTCAATAATCATGTTATGTAATATAAGATATGTATACATGATTTCTCGAAGTTTTTCTTCGCCTAAATAAGTTGTTGTTTTTTTCAATATGAACCACCGTTTCTTCAGAGCTCCAAAAGCACACTCAACATCCTTCCTAGCTCTTTCTTGAGCTCTCTTGAATTTCTTTCGTCTAGAACCATGTAGAGCTGTAAACGATTTAACAAACACAACATACTCAGGATAGATTCCATCGACCAGATAATAAGCATACTTATATGGCGTTCCACGCACTTGAAAAGAAGAATCTGGTGCGGATCTATCATATATGTTGTTAAATATTGGTGAACGATTAAGAACGTTGATGTCGTTAATCGAACCAGGAGAACCAAAAAAAGCATGCCGAATCCACATATTTCTTGATGCAACTGCTTCAAGTATGAACGTTGGGTGACCATGATCACCTCGGGTAAATTGCTCATGATATGATGCAGGGCAATTTTTCCATGCCCAATGAAGACAATCTAAGCTCACTAGCATTCCAGGAAACCCATGCACACTAGCATGATGAGCTTGCAGTTGTAGGATGCCATTACGTGTAGACTTACGTAAATATTTTGGACCATAAAACTAAATCACAGTTTTGCAGAAAAAATAGAGACTATCTCGTGCGATCTTAGCAGGCATCCTAAAATATTCGTCAAACGCATTAGGTAGAATGCCATATGCTAACTGACGAACTGCGACCATGCATCTTTGTAGGGGAGTGAAACCGGGTGTACCTCTAGCATCGTAGCGTTGTTGGAAAAAAAACTGCACTCCCTCGTTACATCTTCAACTATACGTTCGAATAAACCTTTGAGCATTTTGAAGCGCCTACAAAAATAATACCCTTGATAAGTGACATTCTCTGCAAAATAGTCTTGCACCAAACGTTGGTTGACTTCTTCACGATTTCTGTAAATATATCTTCATGTTCTCCGTTGAGAACTTGTAGCTGCGTTGTTACATACAAAGTTGTATGTTTGTTCCGTCATTTGAACACACGCAATAGCGGTATCAAAAATAGTCTGAAACTCTTTAAAATATGAAAATTTTGAGAGAGTGTTGATTTTTTTAAAAAGTTTTTTGAGAGAGATAAGAGATTGTGCTGTGAAAAAAAATGATGTTAGATATGTATATATAAGAAAGAAAAAGCAAAAAAAAAAACAACAACCGTGCGATCCTCTATTTTTACCCCTTAGCCAATCAGAAAAGGCGACACTTAAGGACTATAGTGCGGCCAAGACCGCACCAGACCGCGGTCTGGGGACGGTGTTCTTGGTCTACGTGGCACAAAGTGCGGTCTGGGACCGCACCCACACCCTTCGGCCTAAAATGTTGGGTTATGGTAACCTCGTGTGAAATATTTTATAATATTTCTTATGAGGAAGAATTCTTTCGGGAGGGATATATATATATATATATATATATATATATATATATATATATATATATATATATATATATATATATATATATAGAGAGAGAGAGAGAGAGAGAGAGAGAGAGAGAGAAAGAGAGTGTGTGTGTGTGTGTGTGTTAGGTTCATTTGAGACCACCTATATTTTGCGAGACCGTGAGACGCATTTTTTTATTTTTTTATTTTTTTTAGTTAATTCAAGTTCCGAAAATAATATTTAAAAAAAGAATTTTTGGATTTTTCCATTTATTTTGCATTTTAAAATTATTTTTTTAGAATATGTATAGTGTAATATTCTATTAGAATATTTCAAGTATTTTTCAAAAAAAAAAACGGGATTTTTTTTTATTTTTTTTATTTTTTTTAGTTAATTCAAGTTCCGAAAATAATATTTAAAAAAGGAATTTTCAGTTTTTTCCATTTATTTTGCATTTTAAAATTATTTTTTAGAATATGTACAATGTAATATTCTATTAGAATATTTCACGTATTTTTTTTTAAAAAAAGGGATTTTTTTTTAGTTAATTCAAGTTCCGAAAATAATATTAAATTTTTTTTTAGATTTTTCCATTTATTTTGCATTTTAAAATAATTTTTTAGAATATATGTCAGTTTAATATTCTATTAGAATATTTCACGTATTTTTTCAAAAACAAACGAGATTTTATTTATTTATTTATTTATTTATTTATTTTTTAGTTAATTCAAGTTCCGAAAATAATATTTAAAAAAAGAATTTTTAGATTTTTCCATTTATTTTGCATTTTAAAATTATTTTTAGATTTGGTTTCACAGTTTCACAAAATTAGAATAGTTTCAAATGAACCTCTCTTTCTCTTTCTTTCTTTCTCTCTCTCTCTCTCTCTCTCTCTCTATATATATATATATATATATATATATATATATATATATATATATATATATATATATATATATATATATATATATATATACACACACACCGAATTATAACAAAACTCACTTCTTTTTTTGTCATTTAAATTTCTTTTTAAGTCTAAGTTTTTTATCAAAAAAAAAAACCCCCGAATATATCGTTGTTCTAGATTTTTCGTCCTCTTTCCATAAAGATCCATGATGATATATAAAAAACGAACTTTTTTTTCTTTGAAAAATAGCCATTTAATTTTCTTAGTTTTTTTAAATATTTAAGTTTATTTTTATCAAAAAAAAAAAAAAAACTAATTATACCAAAAATATTAATTTTTTGTACTCCATTAATAAACGTCAACACTGATTTAAAAAAAAAAAATCTCGAACAGTGTAGATTCACACTGTGAATCTAAACTGTAAATATTTCAATTTTTAACATTCACAATATAAAAAATCTCGAACAGTTCAGATTCACACTGTGAATCTGAGAAGGTTAAAAAAAAAAAAAAAAAAAAACTCGATCAGTATAGATTCACACTGTTAATCTAAACTGTAAATATTTTAAAATTTGACATTCACAATGTAAAAAAACTCTGATCAGTTCAGATTCACACTGTGAATCTGACTTATTATTATGCACACTGTGAATCTGAACAGGTTTACAATATGAATCTGAACAGGTTAACAATGTGAGTCTAAACTGAAATATCGTTTTTTTAACATGAATATGAATATATGTTTAAAAAGTACAAAAAATATGAATTTGGATATATTTATTATTTTTTTCTATAAAAAAATAGATCTTAACTTTTTTCATCAAAAGAAATGAAGTGAGTTTTTTTCGAAAAAAAATTTGTTTTTTATATATCATCATGGATCTTTATGGAAAGAGAACGAAAAATCGTTAACAATGGTATATTCGGTTTTTTTTCCGATAAAAAAAATGGTCTAAAAAAAGTTTAAACGAAAAAAAGTGGTGAATTTTTTGTAAATTGTGGATTTTTTTGTATAACCTGATATGTGTGCGTCAAATGTAAAACAGTACATCTATTTCCTTGGCCGTTGATCGTTATGATTTCTGACGCTCACAATTGGTTCATTGGTTAATTATAGTTCTCTATTGAACCTCACCATATATATATATATATATATATATATATATATATATATATATATATATATATATATATATATATATAATATCTTATAAAGAGTTTATAGTTGTGGGCCCGTTACATTTTAAGACAATGTCTTAAAATTCAAGGAAACAAAATCTGGACCACTGAATCTGTATTGGACGGTGAGGATTATTCTGCTTGTAATCCATGTGAAATGCTTATATCCAATCACAATAGAGTGTTTACCATGTACAAGTATTTAGATATTACATACAATCAACTAAAGCTTCATTTACTCTTCCTGAGTAAGATGCAAACTTGAGCAACTTTAGGCGTCATTCTATGTCTTGAAAATCATGGATCATTCAAATTTTTTTGAAATCTTGTTCCACATTTTCTTTCACTCACTTCTTCTAGCCTCATCCTAATGGATTCTCTCAACGACGATGACAACCCACCACCTTTTTTGCTAGATTTCTCGACAACATTAAGCTTCATCACTGTTTCCCTCTTCATTTCTCTATTTGGGTTCTGATCTCTACAGTTGTCACCATCAGAACGCCACGAAGCATAAATCTTTGAACACGCAATAACAAATCACCGATCTGTTCTTTTCTCCCGCCTTCAAGGCTCATCTGCATCGTCGTGATCTTCTTTTGCCGATCTCTTCCTTCAGCACCAACCTCTTATCCATACACACATTGTTCTCTATAGAAGACCCTAACCATTGTCAGCCGCCACCACACCACACTCATTATTCTCTCTAAAAGACATATGGTTTCTCAATCGGGGATGAAGATTACTAGAAGGTGCTAGAATGGACGTGGAGTATTGAAAATCGAGGGGATAATGTTTATTATTATTATTATTATTTGACTGGGGTGAAGATTATAGGAAGGTGTAGCTCCATCAAACTCGATCTCGATGTAAGATCCTTTCTTCTTATTATTCTTTATTTATGGTACGTCCTTTCCCACCATCAAATACACATTTTCTGGGAAATTGATTAATTGGTTTTTTGATTAATTTATGTTTTCAGACCATCACTGGACTTTCAGCATTAAACACAAGAAACATCACTACATAACTAGAGAAAACCATAGACACTGTTCTTAATGCTTTTTTTCCTGAAAAGCTTAGACCTATATTTACGCATACAAGCGATTTAGGTATATTTTTTCATCTTTGTTTGAAATACAATATCCGTGAGTATGCCCCCCCTTTTTGACATATTTTAATGCATGTGAAATAGATTTTGAATTATTTTGAGTAAATTACACGAATGATCCCTACGGTTTGGGGTAATTTGCATGATTGGTCCCTAACTTATTATTTTAACTCGGAAGGTCCCTGTTGTTTGTTTTTGTTATGCGTTTGGTCCCTACTATTTGTTTATGTTACGTGTTTAGTCCCTATCTTAGCTAAAAATACTATTATTTAAATATGAAAAAATGTTAGGGTAGGTGATATAATGTGAGGGGGTGGGGTTGGAAGTGTGTTTATTTAAATAAATTAAAAAAAATCAATGGCAAAATAGTATTTTTAGGTATGACGGGGACCAAGCGCGTAACAAAAACAAACAATAGGGACCTTCCGAGTTAAAAAAATAAGTTAGGGACCAAACATGCAAATTACCATAAACCATAGGGACCATTCGTGTAATTTACTCAATTATTTTAGTTCTTACATTTGGTAAGTTGCATTTCCATGAATTATATGTGGTTCAAAGAAGATAGAACCAACTAGACTCACACTCTCTATCCATCGCACTTCTTCTATCATTCTACAACAGTCACTGCTAGAATGAACCACCACCGGCGCACCACCTGTATCTCTCCCAAAGGTTCCTTTATCAATAGGAAAGTCATTAACTCTGGTGCCAGTGCTTCAAATTACTTTAAGGTAACTTTTATGTGCTTCACAATTCAAATTTTAGAAGTTGCGTCTGACATTTGTTTTTTCTGTTATTTGTTTGCATCTGTTTGTGAAGGTTTTGAACAAATCAGTAAGAAGAACATGGTAAGATTCTCCTAATTTTGTGTTTATATGTTTGCATCTTGAGTTAGGTTTCAATTACATATCTTCTTTGATTATTTGGAATGGTAGGAATCGATGGTTTAGTTCTTTACAGTACTTAATTTTCCATTTATTGCTTTTTTTAGGGATTCTTTTTGTAAAATAACGGAAACAAGATTTGTTTGAGTTTTCTTTAGATACATGCACAAAGTTTGTTGATAAAATTACTGAAACTTTTGGGGATATAAATGTAGGTCCCACCAACATCAATGGAATGTTTTGCCTCCAATAAACAAGCTATTAGAATGGGTCAATTTCAATATATTGACCAATTTGGAGAATCATTTATGCCCAGGTTATTGATGAGCAAGTAAGAATCAAGTACTTGATTGTTTACTACTGATTTACCCTTATTCTCACATTTTATTGTACCCTTTAATATCATCATTAGCCTCATACTTTATCTTACAATGATCCATTTTATTGACAAATATATCTTGAGCGAACCAAATTAAAGTCAAAATGAAAATCCTTTTTTTGGTTCCCGAAAAGATCATGATGGACTTTTGAATTTTGGAAAGTACTACTATTTTCATTGTATTATGGAATCATTTGCTCTTATAGAAGTGTATTTGTAACATAAATTGAGCATACATATGTAACTTGACTAAAAGTTATCGATTTTGTTTTTACTTTTCACAGAAAATTGAATTCTCTAATAGCATGATGGACGTGGACATGGTAGATATTTTGCTGGTTCGATGGTTTATCTTTGTTCAAGGTAAAAATCCTTACTAAGTTCTATTAAGATTCATCTTGGTTTTGAAGTTAATTTTTGTTCACATAAATGAATGACTTTGACTTTTGTGTCCCTATAAAAGAGACAAAGGTTCATTAGACCTTTCAATAGTATAATCATCTAGATGACAAAGAACCAAAGAGGCTCAGAAATAGAGGTCTGTCCTTTATCCTTATTTGTTCCAAGCCTTTAAATCATAGTTTAACGTTTTACATAAAAAATATTTGCCTATTAACATCAAATATAGATTTTTGATATGTAATTATTAACTTGCAAATAACCACTTGAGGATAACTGGTGATTTCAAGCAAACATGTTGAGAAAGGAAAGAAACAAAGAAAAGAAATAAGAAAAATAGAATGAAACTAATATAAAACGATGAATGGAATAATTACCATGTACTTACGTTCACATTTTTTGACTTTTAAGTTGGCAACTTATGTTAGAATTTTATTTTGTAGCTTTATCAGATGCTGGTCAAGTTAATCCTACAGCTCTGGTATAATATTCTATGTTTTGAAAATATTTTCTACATCGTTTAACAGATCTTATCACATTTTAGGAGTAAGATGCTATATGCAAAAATCAATAATTTTTTTCATTTATTTTATTAGTTTTGTCCCACCTGGCATCTGGAAACGTTTCAGGCTAAATATGATTGTATTTGAAAATACATTGCTATTTCTTACCACCAATTTATAGCAATGTACTTTCAAAGTATTAAGGTCTAATACAAAAAAAAAAAATTAAAATATAATTTATTTATGGTTGAAATGAGAGTAAGATGCTCTACATAAGACAAACCAAGGAAAGTCCATTTCCTTTTCATGAACTTAATAAAAGGAAAGTCTACATTGGTTAAAAGAATAAGGTATATTTCTATTTCCTGTAGTTTGTAGCAAGTCCTTTTCTCTTTTCTTGCGTTCTTTGTCATGATTATATGATATTTTAGCCGAGGATGGTTGATGGTGGAAGTCTTGATATCCTTATTTTGTCAAATATCGGACACTTGATGTGTGATGTTTTTTCTACCGATAATCAAAAGGTCCATCTGGAAGAGTAATGGATCTCCCCTGTTGACGCTTGGGATGTCCACAGTGGAAACTTTAAGCAAATCTATTTCCAGGTAGCTTAAACAATATGACGTAAGAAAGACATTGAGATTCTGAACATGGGAATTCATGATTTTGTTTGCATTAATATCATTATATTTATTCTTTTATAACTTTCATATTTTTATTCATTTATTTTTAAGTTTTGTTATAATTTTACATTTATTTAATAAGACAAGATAGAAGTTATAAAGCATTAAGTACAGATGTAATATTTATAGACTTTTTAAATTCAAAAGGGTAGTATATTGAAACCCAAATTCCTAACCCTTAGCAAATTTGATAGGATAAGGTGAATTAAGGAAACATACATATATTATACTATATATTAAAATTATCCATCCTTAGCTACAGTAAAATTGCTAAGGATGGACAAAAATGGTCCCGTGTTTATGTGGGTTTGTTCATTTCTCTTTGTTTTCTTTTTTGCCTTTGCAATAGGTCAATTTGTGTCAATTTGATGACCACGTGTTTGCTTCACTGTTTTCTGGTCCAATCATATTCAGATTTGTGTACATGGTCGCAGCCACCCGTATACCACACACCCACCGCCTTCATCTCTATCTTTCAAGAAACACCTACTCCTCCACCTTGTCTCTTCTGTTTCTTCTCCACCCATCACCGCTTCCTCCACCGATCCTTTTCTTCCACTTTCGATTGTATTTTCATTGTGTTCCACTTATACCGCCATCTTCCCTCTAAAATGAAACACAAAGGCCACAAATCAAACTCACAAGAGTTATGAGTTCTCTATTACTCTATGATTACACCGGAGACTTCAGTTGATCGATCACTCACTTCGCTTCTATCATACCGCCATGGCCGACGCGCTTTCGTTTTCCCTATGTCTAAACGTAAACATGCTTTCGTTCCGTCCTCTTCGTCTGCATCGCCTGACGGGTTCACATATTCTTTCTGTCGTTGCCTTAAGTCACATCCGTCTCCCATCACTCGACGTCTGCTATAGCCTCGGTCGATGACTCTGCCTCCGCCATAAATGATGCGTCGATTACATATACGCCACTGTAGATGCAAACGATTTCTTTCTGATCAAATTGGTTTTCCCGTAAGTAATTTCATTTGTTTTATACCTTCATTATATGCTTTAATTTTATAAACCCTAAGTAATTGGTTGTATGAAATCGAGTCAAATTTCTTTCATGCAGGTTGTAAATGTTGAAATTTCCATTATGTTTGGGCGATATAAACAGGTATTTGAAAAATAGAAAACTTTATCATGTCTATCGATGAGTTTATCCCTTAATTTACTTGGAAACAAGTAAGGTTTTAACAACAAATTATGTGAAACTGACAAGATATTTGATAAACTAGGATTCCTGTTAGAAGGCTCGGTCGCAACTGAAATAGACCGACATAGAGAGATTGCAGGACATCGAACCATTCGACTGTTTCTGGTGGTGGTGTCGCAATATCGGTTGCCAGTGATGGTGGTCGGAAGCGCGGTCCTGGCGAATTTGGGGGTATTACCCCAACTCCTTTCATCTCCACCGACATCATTCGATTTACGAGTTTCTGCATTGGTAAGCTACTAATCTACTAATCTTCATTGTTATTGTTTTTTCTTCGATTTTCCATTTCATTGTCTCATTTCATCTCCTAGGGTTTCTTAAGTGTTTGGAGGAACAAAATTCGATCGGCTGCTACAGGTTCTGATCGTTACCCTGCTTCTCTACATACCCCCTTAATGAGTTCTCCGGAGCCTCCTCCCTATATTCCCGGTACAGTATATGTCAAATGCTTTAGAATTTTATCCAGTTTACATCATGTATGTGTTTTAACTTCAATGATTATCTTAGATTGTCAAAGCAAATACGTGTCTGCCTTATATGATGATCGGATGAACTTGTGTCCCATCATTTGTAGCTGAATATTGCTGTAATTTCGTATCTGAGTTAGAGATGCCCTTTTTCATAGCCAAACTTAAAACATTTCGTATCTGAAATTGAGTCAAATTTCATTCATGTAGGTTGTAAAATGTTGAAATTTCCATTATGTTTGGGCGATATAAACAGGTATTTGAAATCATGCCTTAATTGTAATCCTTTTGTGTTTACTTTTACACTTAAAGCTATTTTAAATGAATATAAGGATGACATGAATTTATTTCTTTTTCTATCTACAAAATTCATCATTAAAAAAATGTTCAACAATATCAAATCATAACTGAAACAATTAAAAAAAATAGTAGAACCAGACTAAAATTAAGGCATGATTTTAAAATAATTTAATTGTTGTCATCACTTAAAAATGTTAATGTTTGTTTTTAATAATAATGAAGATTTTGATACGTTAATATATATTAATATATGTACATCTCCAGCTTTACGAGCTTATTTAAAATACAATAAAAATTCATAAAGAAAATCAAGGTTGAAAAGGAATGTAGAAGGTGTGTCACACTGTCACATATGTTAACAAATCCAATTTAGCAATATCCATTTGAAGGGCCATAAATATATAATTGCAGCTATAAAGAGATGATATATAAAATTTAAATCCTTATAAAATTAAACCCATTGTTTTTCAATACCACATAAACGAAAATATATTTCAGTTTTTTAATATTTAATATTAGGTTTTAAAAAAAGAAAAATGATTTGACAAAGCTAATGCTTTTCGTTAGGTTTACCAAAACTAGAAAACTATGTTAGAGTGGTTGCATCAAGGTGGAAAGGCTGGGCCGAAGCCGGGGCCCACATTTAAAATTATCCACTTTTGTTGCAGAGCAACTGTTTCCATACCAGGGTTGCTATGGAGGACAATATGGTCAAACTGAACATCAAGCTCATAGGTATATAGTGTCTACTCTGTTTGCTTCTAATAAGAAAAAAAGTTAATCATCAACCTTTAATGTAGTGTATGAAAATTTTCACCTGTAATGGAATTTTGTAATCCTTTTGTGTTTACTTTTAGATGCTGGTTATACCATGTAGACTGTAAGCTTTGGCTTATCAATAGAGTGCACCAAAAACATTACAGCTATTACATGCATTCATTAAATGAATATTTTTTTTGGCTTATCAGTAGAGTGAACAAAGGAACATTTTTTTAACATTTTCATTATATTTCCAATAATTATTTATGATTTTTTTTACATAAGTTTCATTTTCTAATAATTTGATGTCATCAGGAGAAGATGCCAAACTGGGCTAACCAGAAACCGGTAATATAAGAACAAATATATACTTTTTATAAAAAAAATGGTTGTCATATTTTTACATATATTTTTACAGGGCTGGAGGGACACAGAGGCTTCCTAGCTTAATTGGAAGCTCAATAGCCAAAGAACTTATTTTCACGGGCCGAAAGATAACACCTAAAGAAGCATTGTCATTTGGTATTTTATTTGTATCTTTATATACTAATATTAAAAATATGTAACATATAAATTAAAATGTCTATATTGATAACCAAATAAATATAAGCACATTGTTATTATGGGTAGAAAAATAAAGGGCAGACCATAGAATAATTTCATGTATGGCTAAAAGAGTGATTAGCCATGGTTTAGAACTGGAGATCGGGTCTGGTTTATTGGAGCGAAAACCTTTGTACAAAGGTGAATGGAATAAACGTACTTTGGTTAGTTGATATTGGCAACGTACTTTTGTTTTGTTTTTTTTGTTTTTTTTTTTGATGAGGTGTAGAAGTTTCTTGACATGTACTATGGGCAGATGGTTATGTTTCTTTAACATGGAGTTATAGAGAGAAAGTTTGTCATTTCAGTAACTAGGATGGGAGGTGATGATGACAGGAAAGTAAGTAGGGGCAAATCGGTCATATTGGGATCACGGAGTGTATTATTGGTTTTGTAACTTAGGATTAGACTTTTAATTCTTATACAATAGATTCAAATTCATTTTTTTGTAACTATATTTCTTACCCATAATAACAACATACTTACATTTTGATACCAATATGAGCAATGGTCATCAAATCACCAACGATATATTGAGGATCCCGTCGGTTTTCTTCTAATTAGTGCTGAATCCAACCCCCGCGAAGCGGGGTTTCCTATCTAGTTAAAATTATAGTATACTATAAAATATGGAAACATAGAAAACCAAAAAAAAAAAAGATGTGATGACATTATTTTTTTTATGCATTATGTATTTGACAACAGAAAAGAAATAAAATCTGTTAAAATTTTAAAATTGTACAAAAGTTTGAGGTTTAGTATTATAAACCAAAGAAAAGCTTCAATTAAAGAAAAATGAAAGATGGTATGTAGCTTTGGTTTTGCTATCAGGAAAAAATGGTGAATTTGGATCCTTTAATGTTAGAAAAACATCAAAAACCATTATGTTGTCAAAGGTGGAAACAAATTAATCCAAATCACTTTGACCTATATTGCCGATTTAGCGAGTCGTGTAACTTTTTGTTATCACTATTTGTTGATCAAATTCTAATCGTGTTTAAAAAACAATTTTTTTGACAAAAAAGAGCAACACATGCTTTTTTACCGAAGAAAATAACGTACATATATTCTTCACAAAAAATAGCAATGTACAGTCGGCGATTGAAAGAAAACTATTTGAAACACGTCGAAAGGAATCCAACTGTTGTCACGAAACTATTCACGTAAACGAAAATAAAGGCCAACTAAATACTTTCATTAAAACCTAAACAAGCAACAAACTTATACCTTCAAGCCAAACAACAATGACTAGAGAAACGAAACGTTCTGACGCATGCCAAGAGGAAAGCAATCGCCGCCTAGAAACTATTTTTTTTTAAATGAAACAAATCGTCGCCGCCGCATTGCACGGGTCCACTACTAGTGTGTGTGTGTGTATATATATATATAACCCTATTTATCTCCTGCCTTCTAAATCAATTTCACCCGGTTAATTTGACGCCACATCATCAACCGCCTAAGAGACGCCTTGGATATTTACAATGACTCATAAGGATTCACTTTCCATCGTGTCGTATCTATGTTACCTCCGAATTCTAAAACCCGTCGCATTTTCCTCTTCTTGATGTATCCTGTGCATTCTCCATTCACCACTGGAAAAATTCTGACCACATCCTCCACATTAAAAAAAAAAACTAATTGTCAATTTCGGATTTCTCTACAATAAATTTTCCATTAAATTCTCCATGGGCACTACCATTTTTTAAAGACGCGCTTTTCATACAACTCAGACATTAATATACTTATGATCTCACCAGCATTAAGCTGATACTCGCTTTCAAAATAACTTGTATTCTGAGGCCACGACTAGACAGGTACAGGTGCCAGGCTTTTGAGAAGATGGAGTTCATTGAAGACTTATCTTTTATTTTGATATGTATATTTTTGGTGTCTATAACTTTAACAGAACACACATGTATGAAATTATATTATTAATGCAATGGATGATGTTGTTGCTTGTTTACTACTATTCATTGTTGTGATACTGTACATGACGTCCTCTGCCCCAGAATGTTTCCGCCATTCATGGTTTTGGGGTGTGACAGATTGATATCAGAGCATTGTTTATAGTGAATTGAGTATATCAACCCATAAAAGATATACTAACTATAAATACATTGGGATTAAAAATACTCTGACCAAGAGTTTATACGTATAAATAATAAAATATTTAATTAAGTATACGTGCCTGCATTCATACTAAAATCAGTGTCACTGGGACAGTACAAAAGAATTACGATTGTTGAACAACACAGGTGGACTT